TCCGTACGTGTCACCCGGTGGTACGGGGAAGCTGAATTTGAATTTGCGGGGTCACACTTGGGTGGGGAACGTTACCCTAAATTTTCAGCTTCATAGCGTTTGTGGTTCCCGAGTTGAAAGTTGCGGACAAGTTGCTGCGGACACACACGCAGACAACCCCGTAACAATATGCGTTTTGTACTGCTGCTACACAGCACAAAACTCATAAAAAGGAAATATTTTCTGTGTTTGAACATAAAAAACACAAATCACAAAATCCGATTTAGCAGTTTTGAAGACATATTCAAAGCGTCCTACAGAAACCTATTATCGGATTAATAGTCATTTATGAACAGATTTTTGAATTAGTTTGAAATTATCTTCCTCAAAAATCCGATTATAACAGTTGCTTTTTTGTCACTTTGACATATACATAATTTTCTAATGAGTATTATCATAAAACATTTTGTTTTCTTACATATTTGTTTTGCCTTGTGATCACTTTATGTTTCACTGTTTGTGAAGAGTGGGAATATTTGGAGCATTTTTTGGGCATTACTGGCTATAAGAACTGTTACTGGCCAATTACTTAGGTCTAGGTTGGCTTAATTCTGGTATATTTCACGCCCAAAGCGAATAAACGAGTGACCAAGGGATTAATTTGAAGCCTTCCACGTGCCTGATTGTAAGGGTTGCTATACATGAAGCCTATCATTTGAAAATCACACAGTTACTCATGTCTGCTGTACTTTGGGAGTGTTTTTGTTGCAGGAAAGTGAAACAACCCGCCTGATACCACCGCCTCCCCCCAAAACGCGTTTGTCAACGTTCGGTGCACGAAGCGGTATGGACGGTGACGGGACGAGAAATGCATTCGGTGATGAGGATATGTTCGAGTCGACGTCCGATACTGCCACCCCAGCAATGGTGCACGTGGAGCAGTCCAGTCGTGGTACAATAAAACATCCAGGCAAACATTTTCTCGTTTCGCTTAGGCCTCTCCCATTCCTCGCTGGTCTCTCACTCGCTCCCAGTTCATCAAATGCTTCATTCTTTGTCGTAGTTATTAGTTTTTGCTTTCTTTTTTTTTCCAGGTACACTCGGGGGTAACTTTGTGCCGCTAACAGACAGCGATGAAATAACAATTGACGAATCGTCACCACCAGTTCTAAGGTTCACATTTCCTTTTTTTTTTTCAGAGACAGAATACCCCATCGCAGCATAGGCATTCTTCGATCAGGGTTCACTTCCGCCGCGGAACAAACAGTCTGTCTACAAGCAGCTGCTTTATTTCGTTATCAGATTGGGGTATTGTCAAGGAGTAGAAGCCCCCAAACGACTCCTCTTCAGTAGCACTGTTTAACAACTTGCAACTTAGCCACATTCGATCAGGGCATCCCTTTTTCTGCTTCAACCTGGCACTGAAGTAACAGAATAGGAGATAAGGGATCAGACTAAGTTCATATTCTTTATTTCCTCCTTCACTTATATCTCTTTCTTTCGCTTATCTTGCAAATTAGTTACATGATTCTTCAGTACTTGGCGAGGAGGAGAATGTACTGATGACTCCCACTCCTTCCCGCATGCATAGTTCAGTCTGCGTATACAGCGAAAGGATGAAACACAGACTGCATCATAAAATGTCTTCATACACATGACATTCAAGTGAAATCCTCCTATTCTATTTCAAGGAAAAATGTTTGCATTCAAGCGCATACACATATACACACATACACATACACACATGCACACACACACACACACATGCACAGTTACTTTGTTCATTCTCACCGAATGAATTCGCTACTGATTAGTGTATTTTGCCGGTTTTCAATGTTTTTGACGCTTACTTCTCTGCTATTCTCCTCTTAAAAATTTATGTATTTTGACTATCTGTTGCCTGCCATCTGTGAAAAAGACAGTTATTTTTGCATTTAAAATTTCTTGTCCTTTAAATTGCGCCTAAACATGTGCTATTTTTAGCCGTTACGGCGATTTTCATACGATCGACTGGCAACGCGATCTTGCACGCGATAGGCTGCGCCACAAATTCATTGTGAAATGGTCGGAGACGCCGCTCGGTAAACTGTATGGCTTGTGGGATGCGGGAAGCGGCTGGATCTGTGTTTTAATGGTCGGCCTTGCCGCGGGCACCGTTGCCGGCATCATCGATATCGGAGCACGATGGATGAGCGATTTAAAGGTGATTTTTTTCAAGGCACATGGATTTTACTACAGCAGCATGATAATGTGATTGCTGTGTGTAGAAAAAGTCGCGAAATAACCCCATCAAAAAATTTGGAATGCCGTTGAGCAATGCTGAATGAAAACATTCCCTGATCGTACGGATTTGGTTTTTCTCCCTCTTCCTGGGAGAAGGGGGAAATGCAGTTTGGAGTTTCGTAAATGTGATAGCATTGCTTTGTTTGTAAAAACATAGTGACAGCACTCTCATACATCACATATTGTACTTATCTGTGCTGTTTTTTGGTTAAGGAAGAAAAGGACCCCACGGGCCGTTTGGGTCCTGTGGGCAGATGAAATTTGGAAATGTAGGGGCCGAACCGGCACTGGGTAGCATAACTAGAACGTGCAAAAAAGGACGTATTACTAATGATAAGGCTAATTTCCATTAAATTAGATTATTTCCCTGTATTATCTCTGGTGCTGTTTGCAGGATGGTGTGTGTGCGGACCGGTTCTGGCTGGATCGTGAGCATTGTTGTTGGTCGGCCAATGACAGTGTGTACAAGGACGCCGATTGCTCGGCCTGGACTTCATGGCCCGAAATGATGCACTACTATGAGCGCAATTTTTTTTATTACATAATGGAGTTATTTTTTTATTGCGGCTGGAGCGTACTGATGACTGGCCTCACTGTTGCGCTAGTCAAGGCAAGTGCCCCAAATCACCGCCTTTTTTTTCAGACATTTCTAAAAAATGTGAAACAAACACGCTTCTATTTGCACCACTTTTCATTTTTTTATTATCTGATGCATACTTCTATTTTTTTTTTGGAAGCTTGCAGGAAGTTTTCATTGCATTGGATTATCCATGGGTTTTTCGCCTTCGGAGTCCAGGGATAACCAAACTACTTTGGGAATTGGTCTGTTATATTACTGTGTCGTAGACCAATCCCCAAATTAGTCTGGTTGTCTCTAGAACTGCTGTGTCTGTTATATTATAAAATCTTGTTTTCAGGTGTTTGCGCCGTACGCATGCGGATCCGGTATACCAGAAATCAAATGCATACTTTCCGGTTTCATTATTCGAGGTTATTTGGGTAAATGGACTTTCATTATCAAATCTGTTGGTCTAATTTTGGCATCCGCATCCGGTTTGTTTAAAATTTGGATTTTTTGGACTGCGCACCGCATTGCTTTTGTTCAGAACGCGGTGTTTTGTGGGTTCGGCAGTAGTGTAGTTGTCCAAATTTTATTTACTTTAGTTCACGGAACGATCATCGATCTTTTCTGTCTTTCGGCCTCCCAGTTTTGCTCCTAATTTTCATCTCTTCTAAATTTAAGAGCTTTCGAGATTATCACTAGTTGCCTTGATAGTGAAATTTTAACTTTTCACCTTTTTCCAAAGTTTTTACTTTTTCCAGTTACGCCTGTTGTCACTGGGTAGGAAATAGCACCGTCTTCATATCACTGCAAATAGGGCAAGTGTGAACTGGTTCAGTTTTAATAATTGCGCAAGCTAGCAGTGGAAATGTTCGTTTAAATCAGCGGGACGCCGAAATATCTGGTTTACTTCATCTGGCTTAGCTGGCGTGGTTTTTTTATGTAGATGTAATAGTGGCAGTTATTTTTGTGAAGCAGCTTACTGGTTGGCACCTTCGCAAAGGATAAAGAAGAATCCTTCAATGGATTGAAAAAATCCGTCTAAAGGTCTTCACAGAGCTGTTGGGTGCGACTCAGTAAAAAAGAATGGAGAAGTTGATAGCTGTATTAACCGTTAGGAGAGATATTGCGAAAAAAACAGTAGCAACTGATCAGTTAAACGATAATTAAAATAATTGGCCAACGCACGGGTTGCCCGTGCGAAGATGCGTTTTTTGCATGGTTCCCCGCAGT